TATATATATATATATATATATATGTCAACGGTAATAGATACGTCTATACATAATGTAGCATGTACATTGCGTTTGGCTTGAGTATACGATGTTAAGCGCCTTTTGTATGTGTCATTTCAGTATCTAGATATGTATACTGCAAGGATGTTAAAAGTGGAGGAAATTATGGAATTTTTGTACTGTAATGGTATCTTATATATCAATATTGTCCAAATGTTTACAAAAAAATTATATTACATTTTTTTAATTTGCTGTTCGGTGTAAATATTTTCGATTGATGGTATGTATCACACAGAAGGAATCTATAAAAGAGTCGCAGACTTGTATTGGAATCCAAAAAAAAAATAAAAAAAAAAGATTCGCATATCTGAAAGAGATTTGTCTAAATTGATTTTCGTGTGAAACCTACAGCAATGATGTCGATATAATATTTTGCGGATATGAACTATACGCTTGATCATTAGGTGAAAAGATTTTTTTGTAACATTTTATTTGTAATGAAATAATCTCTCTGTTACGATTGATTCTTTCTTTAACATTACGATGTCGAAGCATTATCTCCATTACTGTCCATGTATCCGCTAGATCCATTCATGACAAATGACGTTCCCAAACCGTATAAGTGTCCACAATACTTTGCATCATCAATATTATCTTCGAAAAACATCTGGAAAGAAATCAGAGAGATCAATTCTATGTATAAATATAAATATATATTGCAAATATATATTGTATAAATATAAATATATATTGTATAAATATAAATTTATATTGATAATATGAATATATAAATATATTTTTGTAAATAATTATCAGATAATTACATATATTAAATTAAATTATTTACCTCTCGCATTTTAAAAAAGACCATTCCAGTAAGAAGAGAATCGGACCCGGCTTGATGTTGAGGACCTACTCTTTGAATTTCCAGCTGTTCTGCGACTTCTTGTAAACCACCTTTCAAGTTCTTGCACGATTTCATTAAGTACTGTGTATATACAAAAGACATATTATAAAATCTTATATATTTTTAATTTTGTTTACTTTTTTTAAAGATGTCTATTTACTTTTACATCATATATCGTCGGAAAATATATCCTTAACAGTTCGAAAAATTCACTTTCCTCCTGTGGCAATTTTTGATCTGTGAGGAGTTTCAGTAAATAACCAAAGTCGTAACCAGAATGAAAGGATAGCCATTTTATGTCATCAACAAGAACAATTCCCGATGTCATTAACAGTTCTGCGAATTCTAAAGGATCAATGCCTTCCTCTTCATGTTTCTTGAATTGTATACCACTATTTTGTAACATATCTATACTATCCTGTGCATACATGTCTTCACTAGTAACAACAAAATGTACATATTTTATTATCAAAAAATTGTTCAAAAAAAGTTAAAAAAATTTTGAATATATAAATATTTTAATATCTTAAAAAAATGCATCTACAAAATGTATAACAAATATTAATGTTAATACATATAAACTTACTGTAAGTTGAATTTAAAATTGAATTGCCATGTTGTATAACTACCGCCCGGCGTATTCCCCGATTCATCAAGGAATGTGAGACCAAGTTGAATTATTCGCAAAAGATCTACATTGCAACGTAAGAGCTGATATTGATAATCGGCATTAGTTCTAAATTCACCTGTTCAAAACAGAAATTTATAATATATATATATATATATATATATATTTTAGGAACATATAGTAAAACTCTCCGAAAGTGTGCATTCTTACCGATAGGTCTAGCTACAACACCAGGAAATTCTGTATCCATTGCAATGTATTGATATTGCTGTACAACTTGACGAATTGTGCGAAATTCCTCTTCCAGGTTGTGTCCCCATACATCTCTAATACCACATTCTTCATTACTGGGCATAGTCCCTCCTCCCTTCTGCTGCCCTATTGGGTTGGTCCCACCTAAAAATTTTCACAATCAAATAACATTCAAAAAAGAGATGTAAAAATCACAATGATACTCAATGTTTCTCTTTTAATACATACAATTCAATTAATTTATAAAATATTAGCTTAATATTTGGCAAAATTATGTAGAATGTAAACTTTTTTTACTTTTACAGACTATTATCATAATTTAAATACCAGGAACACATGAAAGTGAGACATTATTAATAAAAAAATCTTTTCAAATTTGTAGAAATAAATTTACATATATACAATATATGCAAAGTTATAAATGCATACACCAAAAAAAAAGGTTTCTTTATTTGTAATAAGATTACATAGCTTTTAATAGATTGTTTTCTTGTATCAATCTTCAAAACATGGTATTTTGAGCTGCACCTTCTAGTAGATGTGCATCTTTTTCAATATGTATTATTACACCATTATCAACAAGACTTCTACAAAAGACCTCCTTTATTGCATGTATTTTCATCCACTTGAAACCTGCTTTTAATTTACTCTGCTTCTTTATTCCTGTAATATGTATGTCCTTTATTTCTTAATTGGGCACATGTGAACATTTCACTTTCATTGTTCCTGATTCAGTCAATATTTATGACTTTCAATTTATAGAACACTATTAATATCATACATATAAATATCATATGTATTATTTTTATTGTGCAAAAGCTTTCATGTACACAAAACATTATTACATTTTGTGCATTACAAACAGAACTCTAACACATATTATATACATCTTACGCACCGGTAGCTGAAGGCATATTCCTGCATTCACCGAGGCTACTCTTATCTTCAAATTCTCCCTGTCACGGTCTTTCCTTCTTCATATCACTGTAAATTCACAGATAATCAATAAAAAATAACTGTTTATATATTGTTTACAAATGTTATTAACTAAAAAAAACTCTAAATGCTTTCCATATATATTATGTAAGAATTATATTTCATAGAAATAACAGTTTATATTGTAAGCTCTCAGTCAGTATTGCAAGTAGGCAGGTTATGGATCATGAGTAAACAATAACAGTTCATCACTGTAGATATCACGTATAGGCGAAATGCAAAATAATGCAAGCATATAAATAAATGCGGAAGTAAAACCACTATGAAAAAACGATATATAACAGAATTGTTCATTGTTTGTTAAAGTAAGTTCGATAAGTTTATTGGAAAGTCAGGTTATGTGTCTTAGGCAGACAAGAGCATCGTTTAAGGTTCATGAAAAGATAACGTAAGACAAATTGTACCTTTTGGTATGATATTCTTGGCCAGCGGGGTCTAAATATAATTTAATCGAGACGACACTTTTTAAAGCCACAATCTTGTGTTAAATCATGAACAGTTTAAACGACTTCTCCTGCTCGCGAACTCAACTTTATACGCACGACACGAAATACAGGCGCTTCGATCGCTGATACCAGAGACATCGACGAGGTACTGTTAAAGATGGCTAGCCATGGGCAAATTTTCGTCGCTATCGAATGGGCTTGATGCTCGATGAGACCGGGGATAATTGAAGATGGATGACATTACCGACTGTTTTGACTGCATTGGAGATAATTACACGAGTTATTTTAACCGTGTATATGCAAATATTTTAGCTCATTTAGCTGTTTTATTATCGGAAATATATAGATTTTTTATGTAATTGTCTGAAAAATAACAAAATAAACGTTTTATTTAATACGAATACGAAATTACTACAAAATCACTATTTTCACCGATAAAAGGTACCAGATAGAGTACACAATATTTGTGATAAATATTTATAAATATTTTTTACTATTTATTTTTTTAAATATTATATAAATATTTTATACATATTTTGTATATATTAAGAGAAAAAAATCATAAAAATTTTTTA